AGATACTAGAGTTAATTGTGAACTGTCACAGCTAAGGAAAACAATCAACTACTAAAAAATGACACCCTATAAAATTAGTCTAAAAGGAAGCTAAAAGATTTGAACTCTTTTTCTTAGACAATTAAAAAGCACGCAAGTCCTGTCACATCTCCTATAACAAAAACCATAGCACAATATTCAAGGAGCCTGACAGCCCCAGAAAGAAAACAATAATAAGATCACAAATAAATCAGTTTTCAGAGTAGCAGCCATGTTAGTCTGTATTTGCAAAAAGAAAAGGAGTACTTGTGGCACCTTAGAGACTAACAAATTTATTTGAGCATAAGCTCAGCTGTAGCTCACGAAAGCTTATACTCAAATAAATTTGTTAGTCTCTAAGGTGCCACAAGCACTCCTGTTCTTTTTGCAAATAAATCAGGGTTATCAAAAGCAGACCAAAAATCTAAGCTCAAACCCCACTTTGGTGGATAACACTGTGATTGAATCTCCTATATATTGTGTAAAAATATATTCTGTACAGGAATAGCAACAACATGGGACTGTCAATGGTGCAGGAAATATACTCAACTACTACTGCTAAAATGTTTGATCTTCTAGGCTTTAGCAGCCTCAAACCCACATCACCTACCCACCCATCATCCCCACCCCAAAAAACAAAAACAAAACAAACAAAAAAACCAGGGACAGTCACCAGGATGATGAACTTTCTTAAACACAAATGGATGAGGCAGGAGATTTACACTGAAAAAATATTAAAATAAAGAGCTTTGATATGGACTGATATTGGAAACATGCTGTAGCATATAGAAACAGTAATGTCATAGGTGAAAAGGAGGATTGGGCACCCTTTTAGTTCACAGCAACCTGACTGGACAGTGTCAACTGCACAGCTGATAATCTGTGAAATGGTGTTCTTTAACACTAAGTATTTGCCTACTTTGTTTTTAAACAGGACTATGCTGGTTTTACCACTGGCATTCTTTTAAGTTTACCAGCCAATGTTAATTTGTTGCTTCACATCCCTCTGCATTGGTTTTTAACAATACAGTACAGAGTGGCTATATACAGTATTAAAGTTATATACAATATAGAAATGGGTGTCTATCAAGTTTCTTATTCATACCACCAATCGTTAATGCCCTGTGTTGTTTGTTTGTCTGTTTTTGGGAGGGAAAAGAGTAGTCATTCCTTCCCCTAAGAAACAGAAAAAAAAAGCTCAGTGTGATTATAATTAACAAAACATACTGCTACTGCATAGCTTTGATTCTTATACTGTATGGAATATTGGAGCCCAATTTATTGTGCGCTAATGAGTCTGTTAATTGTGCCAACACAAAGGGGTCTACATAGCCATTTTACTATACCAACACATACTGTAGCACTGGCTGTTAGGCAGCCTTGTCTCCCTTCAGTTTTGCTTCTGTAGCCTGGACATAGGTGGCTGCATTTTCTCAGAATTAATGAGATAATGCCATTGTACACAACTAATCTTGGCGACGCTGGTTTCTCACAGTTAATAAAGGGGAATGTTTCTGTGTAATTTTCTTGAAGGTATGAACTAGAACAGGCTGGAGAGTTTATAATACCCTAAGAATCACTATATAGAAAGTCCCTGCGTTGGTAGAAAAATATGATAGAAAAAGATTAGAAAATACAACACAAAGCTTGTTTTTCGTCATCCCCCCGCTTTGGTTTACTAGTGCAGTTCTTTATCATTCTCTCTTTTAAAAAGTAGCATAATGTATGTGGAAATATAAAAAATACTCTATGAATAAATGCCTCTCTAGAAACAAACATTAAATGTCTGTCAGGTTGCTTTCACGCATTCTGATCATATTATGAAACAATTGTGTAAGAACATAGAAAGATGACTACTTCTTATGCTGACCCTGCTCCTGTGCCTACTGGGTATGGGACAGGAACTATGTTAATTGTGTTGATCACTGATCTCTTTTTGGTGGTGGACAAAGATCAGGGGCCAGAGCTATTGTGATGTAGGGGCTTTGCACCATGCTGCCATAAAGTCAACATAACCAGCTCAGGGTGTAAAGGAGATGCTCCAGCGCCACAAATCCAACACAAGGTCATTTATGCCATTCACCATGCTGCTGATGTAATAAAGAAAAAGGAGCATGGCTAGAGGAAAGGGGGAAGGGTTGCCAGGATGCCTGTGTGCTACGCTGATCCTCAGCTGCATTTATGAGCCTTTGTGGCTATTGCAGTTTGGCATAAACTAGAGCAGTTGTCAGGTTGCTTTAACACAGGGCAGGAGGAACAGCATGTACCAGAACAGAGAAGCAAGTATAAAGATAAGCTTTAAGCCATGTTTGCACACCAACCCTTGACTTGTTCTCTGGGCAATTTGGCTGCACCAGAGGATCTGTCCCCAGATGTCTATGCTGATTCTTTTAGATCTGTCAGTTGCCTTTAGAACAGTTAACACATGTTGGCGTTAACACATCTGTGGCTCCTGGCAGGGATAAACAGTGTTTACTTTGGTGTCTCTGTTCTTTTCACATTGAGAAGATCCAAAGTGTAGGACTGGTCAATTCCATGGGCCGCTCTTGTGGAGTTCTGCAGGGTTCTATTTTGTCATCCCTTCCTCACTATGTATGTTGAGGTTACAAGAGGAGTTTGGTTTGGGTCACAGTCCCATTAGTATGTTGATTGAATTTAACTTTACACTGTTCATTGGACAAAAACAGTTTATAGCCATTCCGTTTTCCCAGCCTACTTCTACATTGGGATTTTTTCCCCTAAAATTTTCCACAATTGCTACCATCATTCCAACTCCACTGGTACTGGCAATAGTGAGAGTTCTAGTGGGCTCAGGGGCTCCCCAGCAATTTTAAATACAATTTAATCTAACCTTACTCAGAGCAAATATCAACTGTACACAACTTAAAACACTGAGAGAGCATTGTCTGCATTAGCGTTCCCACAATGGTTCTGTGGAGTTGAACCATTGGTAGCAACGATAGCAAATTATATGGAAAAATTCCTAGTGTATACAACACTTTAGTTCCTGGCTGAGATTTAGGCATGTTTGAGAGCTAGTCCTCCGGTTCAGTCCTGATATAACCAAGCAACAGTGGTGTGCTCGGGAAAACAACTATTATTTCATTTATTTATTTTCAAGGTATACTCACAGTACATAGAAAGGACCATCTCTATTCTATGCTCTAAAATTGTAAAAAAGACTTCCCCAAGAATCTTCCTTCACCTAACAACTAATACCTAGAGGCTAAAAATGTATTTCTAATCTTTACCATCTGCCACCAGAGTTCTCCCAGTCTCTCTGCAGACATAATGGCAGAAGCCATATTAGTTGAGGGAGTTCACCTACCTTTTGTTACTCATGTTTGCACACTAAGAGTTTTACTGGACCTTGAGCTGCTCCTGGATTTCCAGATAGCAGCTGTAATCAGGACTTCTCATTTTCCTCTTCACTTGACCAGGATATTAGACTCTTTCCTATCCAATATAAGCCATTACACACACTTCCCATCATTGCTGCTTTTGTCACTTCTTGATTGGATTGCTTCAATACATTCAACATGGAGTTACACCTGAGGGCCATTCCAAAACTTCAGCTATTTAATAATGGTTCAGTATGTCAGCATGTTTTAACAGGCTCCATAGATTTCACTGGCTTTCATTTTATTTTGAGGTGCAGTTCAAGATGTTGGTTTTTGGACCTTTACTAGCTTGGGTCCTTGGTTTCTTAGATAATATGTTTCCCCACACATTTTACCTGGACAATTGACATCAGCTGAAATATTCAGCATTCACTTGATTTAAATGTTAGCAAGCAGGTTGCAGAGTGTTCTGGTGAACTCCAGAACTCACTCGCTGCCCACCCTAGTGTGAGAGAGAGCCCAAGTGTGTTGACATTCCGGACATGTTGTGAGTCTTGTCCATTCAACCAGACTTTTCCTGAGGGATCAGGTGAAAAGAGACAGTTTAAGTTGGTTAGAGAGCGCATTTAATGCAACTCTTTTATAAGATGTTTTGTCGTGCAATTTGTGGTTTTAATTAATGTTTTTATCGCATGGATGATTAGAGGCAGATGACTGGACAACAATAGAAATACAACCATATGTATTTCATTCATATGGAACTCTGGGCAGACTAAGGATTTTGCCAATAAGGTTTAACACTGTAATTTGCATTTGGTCACTTTCTTTATTTTACCCTTTTTTTAGATCATGTCTATGTACCAAAAGAAAAAAAAAAGTAACATGGCAGTCCTGTTTGGTTTCCTGCATTTACTGTACCAAATCCTAAGGCTTTCATTCCATCCCTACACAGGTAAAAACCCTTTGACTTGAACAGGCTTTTCCTGTGTAAGGCCCATGTATAGCTTTATAGTTCTTAACTACCTGGAAGGGAAGAAAATCTTGAAATTTTAAGCAATTTTACTATGCAACTCTGTTTTCTATTCCCTCTTCACCCCGCAATCACGTGTGTCTGTTCATGTGCATGTCTGAGCACATGTATGTACACGCAGCAATAATTTGCAAACATATGGGGAGAGATTCTAAGAGGCATTCCCCACATTAACTGTCAATGGAAACCTTTTGTACAGTACGTCATACAGCATATGCAAGAGAGAGCATGTGTATATACATGAACATATTTACTCATTATCACACTGCCGCACAGAGCCTAAGACTGGACTGGTTAGTTTAAAATGCTAAAATGATTCCCTTGGGATTTATGAGCTAAGAGTGCTCAAGGGTTTAGTGTCCTGACATCTCTTTAATTAGCAGCCTCCAAGATCCCACACTAAGAAGACACTAAGCCAGTGCCTTCTGTCATATCTCAAGGGTTCCAGAAGGTTTGGAAGCCACAGAGCAAGCCTACTGTACTATGCCCGTGACCGCTACAGTATGTGCAACTGACTTTTTTCCTACTAGCATCAGATTTGGACTTCTTGCTGCTGCTCCTGCTTCTAGGGTGATGCAGTTCTAAAAAGCCATAAGAAAGAGCCACACAAAATGGGTGGGATAAATAAAGACGATGTTGAGAAATACTTAGAGAACAACCCCCAGTTTGCCAAGGAGTATTTCGATCGAAAGCTGAGGGCAGAAGTGCTGGGAACTGTCTTCAAAGTCAGCCCTGGGGAAGTGAAGGATGGAGTTTCCTTCAAAGAGATGTCCCGGCTGGAGGAGTCTCATTTGCTCTTTGAGCTGCTGACAGAAATCCAGGAGGAAGCAAGCAGCATGGAGAAGATAGTACACAAGGCCCTACAGAGGCTGGCACAGCTGGTGGCAGCTGACCGGTGTAGCATGTTCATCTGCCGTGCCCGCAATGGCACCCCTGAGGTTGCCACCAGACTTTTCAATATCACTGCCACCTCCAAGTTTGAGGAGAACCTGGTGGCCCCAGACAATGAGATTGTTTTTCCTCTGGACATTGGGCTAGTGGGATGGGTTGCTCATACCAAGAAGCTTTTTAATGTACCTGATGTGAAAAAGGTAAGTGAGTGTCTTGTTCTGGGGCCTGGGTCTCTATTCCTTTGCTGAATTTCTTGTAGAAGGCCTATGGTACAGAATGGGGTTTTTGCATAGACTTGTTCCTCAAAGTGCCAAACCCCAAACAGGAGACAGAAACCCAGAATGAAAAACATGAGAAAACCAACGGCATATGAAGTTTAAAATCAGGTGGGGTCATTTTATCTAGTGTGGTTTGTTACTTCATATTTCCTGATTCAACATTTGTGATGTAAATAATTTACTGTGCAACAAGGAGGAGGACATCAGATTAGTTTGGGACTGATGTAAATTTGAGTCCTTAATGACCAAGGTAGGCTCCTCTCTGTTGTCCTAAGCAAAGTGATAAATGTTCTCCCTTATTATTCCATAGTCACCCATTCAGACCGTTACTGAATAGATCAGTTATTAGCATTTTGCTTCCCTAGGTCACTGCATGTCTGGTAGTCAGAGCTGGCAGTGATTTTTAAGGCGGTGAATGAGCTGAGAGAAAAGATGGGCACAAACCAGAGTATTCAGATTGAAGTCTAGTTTTCAATGTAAAACACCCAGAAAGCTTGAGGGTGTTAAAACCCTGGCTTTCGGTTCAGATCCGTCTCTAGCTGAGACATAACTGGTCAGATCTGCTCATCACCTTTCAGAGCACCTAATCTATTTTCACAGACTCATCCTTTTCACTTGTAACTTAGACAAAGGTTACATCATAAGTATCATAGGACGAGCATTACTCCAATTCCAAATGTATGAACGAAGACAGCTTCAGAATGTCTGCTCTGAAATAAATGGGGAAGCAGACACGTTCTCTCATGGATATTGACATCTGCAGACTTGCTGAATTTAAGTTATCGAATGATGGCATTTCGTCTGTAAACCTCTCAGCACCAGACATCAGCTGGTGTAAAGTGGAATACTCCAGTGGAGCTATGCCAGTTAGATCAGCTGAGGATCTGGCTCCTCGACATTTAATTCATAGTTTTATATCAAAATTCAGTGCCGTTTTAGAGAAAGAAGGCCTGATCCTGAATTCAATGAGAATTTTGAGTGTACAAACAATGCACAATGGGAGCCTTTATGGATTGCAACTATCCATGGCTTCATGGAGATAAACAAGACATTTTACATTTAATCATATTGCTAAGAGTCAGCCAAAATCAAGGCTATTTTAATTACAAGCTTATATTGGCCTGGTTTCAGGCTATTATTAAAACTCAAGAAAAGAGACAAGTATGTGTGAAAAGAACTTTTCCTAATTTTTAAAAAACAAAAGGCTCAGACCTGCAGTCATTACATAGATTAAACTCCTGCTGAAGTCAATGGGAATTTTGGGAGTCAAAGTAATGCAGGATTGGGCCCAATATCTGACTGACTGCTAAGATGCTGCTGCTTTTGTGACAGAGTATCTGACTTACTGCCTCTTACCGACAAATGGAGAGACTGGTGGATAATCCTTCTAAATTCATAAGGCTGATTATGTGAGAAAAGATCAAGAGGATCAAGAAAGATGTGCATTTCTTTAGACCTTGCACTGTTCACTTCATATGATCATGTGTAAGGCTGCTTGCAGTGGGGCGGCTCATCTAGTTCTACTGTTCTTCTGTTCTGTGTCCAAAAAACTGTGCCAAGCTAAAAATAATCTGAATGTTTTTAAATAAGATCACAATGTTCTTTTTGCCCCATTAGTGGTTCTGTGTGTATGTTCTGGGAACGTAATAGAGCCAAGGTCTGATGTCCAATTATTATTCAACCAACCAATTTTTAAAAGTAATTTAATATAATTAATGAAATTATTATATTTTTACTCATACATGCATTTATTAGGGAAACAGAAGTCTATGCCAATACAGCAGCACTAGAAACTTCGGGGCCAAATCCTGGTGCCACTGAAGTCAATTGCAAAACTCCCATAGATTTCAATGGGACCAAGATTTGGCCTTTAAAAATAATTGTGCAATCCTTAAAATGATCAACATCTCCATTCTACCAGTAAAAGAGTTAAAGGGTCCAAACTCACACTCCTTACTCATGCAAAACTCCCACTCACGTCACTGCGAGGTTTACCTAAGTAGGGACTGCAGGATTGGGCTTTTAATCAGTAACATTTCTTATGTCATGGGTTAATTATAATACTGAAGCAGGAGCTCCTGCTGATCAGACCTTAAATCCTTATCATGTAGTCTTGAAAAGGGAGTCGTTTTCATTCAAATTGCATTCTGCGTGCTTCCAGGAAAACAGGTCTGTCCACTACCTGAGTGCTAAGCAAAAATATGACGATGGTCCTTTCTGGCCCTGGAATCTATGAAATCATTTACACCTATATATAGGGCCCTACCAAATTCACGGTCCATTTTGGTCAATTTCATGGTCATAGAATTTTAAAAATCATAAGTGTCATGATCTCAGTTATTTAAATCTGAAATTTCAGGGTGTTGTAACTGTCGGGATCCTGACCCAAAAAGGAGCTGTGGAGGGTCACAAGCTTATTGTAGGGGAGGTTGCAGTACTGCTACCCTTACTTCTGTCCTGCTGCTGGCAGCAGCGCTGCCTTCAGAGCTGGGCAGCTGGAGAGTGGTGGCTGTTGGCTGGGAGCCCAGCTCTGAAGGCAGAGACGGTGCCAGCAGCACAGAGGTAAGGATGGCCTGGTCTGGTATTGCCACCCTTATTTCTGCACTGCTGCCTGCAGAGCTGGGCCTTCAGTCAGCAGCCACCACTCTTTGGCCACCCAGCTCTGAAGTCAGCAGTGCAGAAGTAAGGGTGGCGTGGTATGGTATTGCCAACCTCACTTCTGCGCTGCTGCCTTCAGAGCTGGGTGCCTGGCCAACAGCTGCCACTCTCTGGTCTTCCAGCTCTGAAGGCAGTGAGGAAGTAAGGGTGCCAATACATGACCCCCCTAAAATAACCTTGCAACCCCACCTGCAACTGCCTTTGGGTCAGGAACCCCAATTTACGCTAGTCTCCCCTGTGAAATCTGTACAGTGTACGGTAAAAGCACACAAAAGACCAGATTTCACAGGGGGGAGACCAGACTTCATGATCCGTGATGCATTTTTCATGGCCGTGAATTTGGTAGGGCCCTACCTATATACAGTTTAATTTTATTTAGTGATGTAATAACAATACATAGCTATAGAATCATCTCGTTGTGTGGACGTGGCCATGGAGCGCAATCAGTGAACATTTTCACATACCGATGTCTCAAGAACATTTATCTTGTGACTTACTGACAGTAGGGATTTACCACTGCTGACCACTTTCCACTTCATATTCATTGTCTAGTATTTAACTGTGTGTCACCGATTAAGGAGAAGGGAAAGAATTCATCCCTATGTAACTTTGTTCAAGTTAATGTGCTGTGACAAAGCTCTGTCCTTGCCTCCGTGGGTCCCGCATTTCCTGGCGGATTTTGCTAGCCTTAGAGGCTCACCGTGACCCTGCATGTAACCCTTCTCTCTCTAGAGACAAGGGTCACAGTCTACTGAGCCATTTTCATCATAAGCCAGCGAGGGAGGTGAGGAGAAGTTATCCTTCTTTGCACAGTCCCTGTTGTCTCCCAGTCTCAGTGATTAATCAGGGGGCAATGGTGGGGGGGGGGGAACCCGGGCCCACCCTCTACTCCGGGCTCCAGCCCAGGGATGCTAATAGTATCAGCTATGGTAGCTGACCTTTTAGAAACATGACATGTACAATTCCCTGGGCTACTTCCCGCACAGCAGCCCTCACTTCCTCAAGCTCCACTTCACCCTTACCTCAGGGCCTCTTTCCTTGTGCCTGATATGGTGTGTACTACTCAGCCTCTCCAACAGCGCAACTTCCTCTCACAGCTCCTGACATGCACACCCACCTGACTAACTGGGAGGCTTTTAACTAGTTTCAGCGAGCCCCTGATTGGCTTCAGGTGTCCCAATGAACCTAGCCTTCTCCCTGCCTTCTTAATTGGCCCCAGGTGTCTTAATTGACCAGGAGCAGCTGCCATTTCACTTATCCTGGTACCAGGGATTTGTTTAGCCTGGAGCTAATATATCTATCTCCCACTACTTTTCTATAGCCATCTGGCCTTGCCCTGTCCCCTGCTCAACACCATAGAGTTGGGCAACTTGGGACGCCAGGCAGTATGCTCGTGACAGACCATCAGTGTTGCCATGGTGGCATCCAGCCCTGTGCCATATGTGGAACTGGAATGGTTGGAGGGATAAGAACCACCTGGTGACCCTTGCACTCTTTTCCTTATTCCGCTGCATCCACTGGAGGGGTTCCTGGTCCGTCACAAGAGTAAATCCCTGGCCTAAGAGGTAATAATGCAGTGTCTCCATAGCCCATTTGACAGCAAGGCATTCTCTCTCGACTACTGCATATTTCTGTTCTCTTGGGAGAAGCTTTCTGCTTAGGTAGAGGATCGGGTGTTCCTCTTCTCCCACCATTTGCGACAGAACTGCCCCCAACCCCACCTTGGAAGCGTCTGTTTGTAAAATAAATTCCCTGTTAAAGTATGGGGCTATGAGTATGGGGGTCATTACAGAGGGCCGTCCAAAGGTCTGTAAATGCCCCCTCTGCTGCGTCGGTCCACTTTACCATGTCTGGACCTCGGGCCTTCACCAGGTCCGTTAGGGGACTTGCCCTAGTGGCGAAGTGGGGAATAAAATGTCGGTAGTAGCCTACCAGGCCTAGGAATGCATGGACCTGCTTCTTTTGGGTCGGCTGGGGCCAGTTTTGAATTGCCTCTAGCTTATTTGTTTGGGGCTTCACTATGCCCCTTCCCTCAATATATCCCAGGTACCTAGCCTCTGCTAGCCCTATGGCGCATTTAGCGGGATTAACAGTGAGACCAGCCCGCCTTAAGGTGCACAGTACTGCCTCAACTTTCTCCAAGTGGGTTCCCCAGTCTGGCGTATGGATGATGACATCATCTAGGTATGCAGCTGCGTAACTAGTATTGGGGCGCAGCAGCTTATCCATGAGGCACTGGAATGTGGCTGAGGCCCCATGTAGCC